TTCCCCCCGCGGCCAAGCCCGCCTTCCCTTCCCCTTTTTACCCCGGGCCCCCGTAAAAACCCCGGGTTGACCCCCCCTCCGGGGGTTTTTCCCGCCCAAGGGGTGTGGGGAGCGCCAAACCCGATTCCTTTTCCCCCCCTTTTGTTTTTTTCCCCCCTTTTTGTTTTTGAAGGCTTGCCCTGCCGAAGGGTTTATTTTTGGTTGGCCCTTTTTTTGGTGGCCTTTTTTGTGGCCTTGGGGGGGGGCGCCACAAAAAAGGGAATTTTGTGGTTCCTTTAAACCCAGACAAACCCCACCAGGGGGGGGGGGGGGGGGGGGTTCCCCCCGGTCCCTTCCCCCAAGTTGCGGAGTTTTTTAAAGCCCCCCCCCCCCCCCCTTGTTCCGCCTCCCCCTCTCTTGTCAAGGCTCTCTCTCCCACAGCCTGCTCTCTCTTGCGCGTTGCTTCTCTCTTGCGCGTTGCGGGCGGTTTTTGTCTTTTCGGAAGGGGGGCGGGGGGGGGGGGGGTGAACGGGCGTGTGGGAGCGGAGGCCTGCGCAACCCCGCCACCGCCGCCCCCGAGACGCCAAAAACGCATGTCCGGAGTATGCGCCCTGACCCTGGGGGTTGCGCGGTTCGCAGGGCCGCTCGCTTTTTTGAAAACTTTCGTGAGCACATCGTACTGATCTTTCACGGAGGAGGCTTTGTTTATTTATTCATTATTGATATATGATATTGTGCGTTGTCTCATGTGTCTGCAATGCTGCATAATCCATAAACGGAAAGGAAAGAAAGTAAAGAATAAGAAACAACCGCCGCCGCGCGCCCGCGCCGGAGAGCGAGAGGGGGGAGAAGATGAAGCAAACGGGCACAGACTGACCCGCGCAGACGTCAGACGTGCCACCGACCGATTTCACGAGTCACCCAAGCTGAGAAGTGTTGACGGCCGTCTCAACAAACAAAACACAAAATCCGTCTCCGGTTTGTCGGCTCGGGCGCCAGCCTCTCCCCATCTGCATCGCTCGTCCCAGTCTCTCGCCCACCGTCGCAGCGACCTTCATGCCACCTCGTAAACAAAACGGACGCGCCGAACGAGAGATGGGGTAAGGACAGGGTCCCCACGAGCACAGGATCTTGGAAGGACGATTAGGGACACAGGGGAACGGGAGCGGGGAGCGGGGAGCGACACGGACGGAAGGGGGTGGGTTGGGGGCAGCGATATTGCGTGATAATTGCGCGATGTTACGCGATACTGCGCGATATTCCTATTCAATGTGTATTGCGCGATATAGGCGATATTAGGCGATACTCGGCGATTCATTCACGATATACCTCGAGGTACAGAAGATTTCCGCTAGAGCAGGGGCACACGACAAGGGTCCCAGGGATTCCTCTCTCGTATAGGACAGGTTGCACCCGGCCCACGGGGGCAGGCGCGGGCCTCCCACTGGTTGCGCTAAATAAATAAACAGAGCAGACATCTCCCGAGAGATGGGCGACAACCCGACGGGCAGACCCCGCCCCGCTCGGAGGGCGCACCACACAGCACACAGACTTGAGCACTTGAGCACTGGATAGGGTCGATTCCGCATGGTACGGGACCCCTCGATCGTCTCGCCCTCCCTCGCTGGTGTGCTCATCGGGGGGGTCATAACAACAGCACACAGACACATATCTAGCCGCTGCACAGCTCCTCAGGCTTTCTGGGGTGGTGTGTGTATGTGTGTGTGTGTGTGTGTGTGAAGTGTGTGTGTGTGTGTG